CGCAGCCCCTGATGATGAACAGGGTCCAGCATTTTGAGAACCGACGTCCGGGCAGAGCCATACACAATACAACCGTAATCAAGTCGGGATCGAACGACGGACCGATAGATACGTAAGAGGCAAAGACGGTCAGCACCCCAGGACACATGCGACAGGACTTTCCCAAGCAGCACCAGAAAGTGAATTTCGATCGGCCGACGGCTGGCCAGTGTCTGGACAGCTTGGCCACTTTAAGTGCTTGGCCACCGGAGTCATAAACAAGGCCGGCAAGGGTCCGGCCGCAAACTAGCTGTGTTTAGCTTGTCCGCCGGAGACATAAACACTGCCGGCAAGCGCCTGGCCAGAAGTGCTCATTTTCAGCTTGGCCGCCGGAGCCATAAGCACGGCCGGCAAGTGTTTGGCCAGCAGTGGTGATTTTCAGCTTGGCCGCCGGGGACATAAACACGGCCGGCAAGTGTTTGGCCACAAGTGCTAATTTTCAGCTTGGCCGCCGGAGACATAAACACGGCCGGCAAGTGTATGGCCAGTAGTGATGATTTTCAGTTTGGCCGCCGGAAACATAACCACGGCCGGCGAGTGTTTGGCCAGCAGTGCTGATTTTCAGCTTGGCCGCCGGAGACATAAACACGGCCGGCAACTGTTTGGCCAGCAGTGCTGATTTTCAGCTTGGCCGCCGGAGGCATAAACACAGCCGGCAAGTGTTTGGCCAGGAGTGCTGATTTTCAGCTTGGCCGCCGGAAACATAAACACGGCCGGCGAGTGTTCGGCCAGAAGAGCTGATTCTCAGCTTGGCCGCCGTGGACATAAACATGGTCGACAAGAGTTCGGCCAAAAGTGCTGATTTTCAGTTTCGCCGCAGAGACAATCATATTCTAAACTTTCATCGTGTTGACCAAACTTTGGCATAAGGACGGGCAGCAAGAGAAGCATCATGAGCGAGTGGTTGGCAGGATATTAGTGCGAACACTGTTAGCGCAAGCAAACGATCACCGTTTTATTCAGTTTTTTTTTTCGTTCGACTTAAAAGGCTATTGTCTTAACTAGCACTGTCTTGCGATATGTTCATTTAGAACATTACTAGAAGTGGGAAAATATTGTGCCCGTCGTTGTTCTAGGAATATAAAATACGAAAGCAGCGCCGACGTCATCTTCGCGCTAACAATACCGCTCTGTCGCTGCGCGGCCCTCTTAGCACGAATACCACATCCGCGATTTTTCGGTTAGTGCTCCACATATTTACTTCCCAACTGCACTCAAAGAAAAAAAAGTTGTAGTTGGGTGCATCGGGCGCACATGGTCCCCTTTCCTGGAAGACGCATTCTCCGTTACCCAGCCAGCGTACCTCCATACCGACCATAAGCCCCCTTCTCTACCTTAAAAACCTATAGGTGTATCAATGCACTCAGCTTAGTAAACCGCCACGCTAGCCACGCACCCCGATCAGCTTGACTTGAATCAGATAAGATTGGATATTTCAGGCTTTGTGTGTTGGAAGCGCCTAAACAAGACGTCTCTCATATATTGATTAAACTTAAGCTAGTCTCAGTAATGTTTTAATTAGGCACTAGGATCCTGATTTCTTGAGCCAAGGGACGTTAACAGCTTCGGTTAAAACCGCAACGGAAACGTTCGAAATCGAACCACACGTAAAATAAAAAGAAACTGAACATCTCAACCTATATCTGCAGAACGCTGGTTTTGTTGTTAACAACGTGGTTGTTGGCGGGTGGTGGGCAACGCCGTGACGCTATTGACGCTATCGTGGTGATTGACGCCAGTGATGCTCGGCCGTACTACACAGTAAAAGTTTTTACACCTTTAAGGATGTAAAAGGGGTGTTGTAGAACTTTCACCCTCGGCTACACCCTTTTAACATCCTAAAAACTAGGAATACAACCTCATAATTTTACCGAAAAAATGCTGTTTCGTGTTACACCCTACATTTAGTGAAGAATGTGAGAAGGGTGTAGAAGAGGGTGCTAAATAAATAATGTGAAATGGTTTTGGAAAGCTTATATATGGCTCTGTACATAATGTACAGGTAAGATTTCTGCTTAAAAAGCAACGGTTGTTAGCAGTCTTGTTTCTTATAGTGTCAGTTGTAATTCATTCAAATAGCTAATAATAAAGTGCCTCTTTTGCATTAAATTTTTATGTTTGCAAACAAAGTTCATATTTAATTTTCTTACAAATCACTCCATGCTCAGAAATCGGAAAGTAGGGTGAAATGCTCTATACTAGAAGTTTTTACAAATATTTACGGATGGAAGTGTGCAGTAAGAAAATCAGTTAGTCTCGAGTTTATATCTGGCAACATGAAATCAAAATATTGTGAAAATGTTTGACAAATATTCATGACATGCTGCTAGAACCTGTCTCATGACCATGTCAACCCGAGTAAAATATTCACTTGAGAATATGGTGACATGCACAAAAACTCACACATATAAAGAGGCAAATACCATAATAGGCCAGTCCGAGACATCCCATAAAAAATGGCCTATGGTCGTCTATGGGAAATTCAATGGGAGGCTATCACCCCCTGTAGCTTAGCATGGTCGGCCTCAAAAATTTATAGATACAGTTACAGCCAGCTATAGAAAAGTTTAGGGCCCTGCGTCTAAAGTCTCAGGGCTGTGTTTCAATAACAACAATAATAATAATAATAATAATAATAATAATAATAATAATTTATTTGGGTAGATATTTCTTCAAATCGAGGCACGGGTCTGTCAAAGCCTGTAAAGGCTTGTGGGACAGCACCCTACAGGTCATAGTCACAATATCCCCACACACAAACAGTGTCAAGCTCCTCATACAGTTGCTACTCTCGAATTAAATAAAATATGATGAAAAAACATACACATAGGTTCAATAACTACACTGTGATGCAATAGATGGATATGTAAAAATAAAAACCATACATGCGCACACACACTCACGCATAGTTGTGTTGTTCAATTGAAATCTTGGAGCACTTGTTTGAGTTCTTTTAAAGAGTTCACACCATATATGGTTTCTGGCAAGTCATTGAAGGTTGAAGGCACATAAAAATTGCGAACACGTTTTCCATAGTTCGTGGTGATAAAAGGCACTTTATAGCGTTCGGTCCGACGAAGTGATCTAGACGCTCTGTGAGGCTCTTTATAGTCATCGTTCCAAAAGTATTTCAATACAACAGTCTGAATGAATAAAGCATAGAATAATGCAAACCTAAAGTTGTTATTTTTTCTTCTTCAGGTTGTGACGATGAACAGTAGACAATGCTCTTAAACATTCCTTTCAAAATTGAATCAATTTTTTGGCACCATATCACAGACCCATGCCCGAAAATTGTTATGCCATACCTTAAAACACTGTACGCTAACGCTTGAGCTATCATCTTTTCGGTTGATATGGGAATTAATGATCTTGTATTATAGAGTAAGCACGACACCTTTCTCAATTTTTTACAGATATAAGACATGTGAAAATTCCATGACAAAGCACTATCAAACTCAATTCCTAAGTACTTAACCTGATCTGCATAAGGCACTGGGCAGCAGGTGCTGTCTGCACAGTCAGACGTATGCATGTAAAGTGGATGATCAAATGTTATAATTTTTAGGGGATTATGAAAGCAAATAAGTTTAGTTTTTGATATATTTACCTCAAGACAATTTCTTTTAAACCAGTCAAGTAAGCAGCACGTGTCTTTTTGAAGTAGCATCATTGCTGTAGCATAATCAAGATGGAGCGAGAGCAACACCGTGTCGTCAGCGTATTGGAATAGTCTACATGTGGAGACAGCGTTGGACATATCGTTGACTAACACGTTGAAAAGAAGAGGTGACAAAATAGATCCCTGGGGGACTCCAGCTTTTAAATTTACCTTGGAGCTTCGTCTATTGTTTATAGAGACTACTTGTGTACGGCCGCTCAAAAAGTTTTGAAGTAGAGAAAAGAATGGACCGCGGAATCCAATTTTATGGAATTTTTTAAGTAGAATGCTATGGCTGACCGTGTCGAATGCCTTCGACACATCAATAAAAAGTGCACACGCGACTTGACGCCTTTCAAAAGCAAGATGCAATTCATCAGAAAAATCTTCCAGAAGTGGCCACTAACGAAACTATATTGTCTAGATGATAGAATATCAAAGCTATCTAGATACGACGTCATAGTATTAAGGATACGTTTTTCCAAAATTTGGACTATACAAGGTAAAATTGAAATTGGACGGTAATTGTTAAGTTTTTTACGCTCTCCACCTTTGAATAAAGGCTTTACTAAGGCACTCTTCAAATCATCCGGAATTTTCCCATTGGAAATGAAACCATTTAACATATAAAGGAGTACGTGCTTTATAAAATCATAATTTCTCCGTAGGTCTTCTGCATTGATTCCATCTATACCAGGGGACTTGTTTGATTTAAAACTGAAAAGTGCAGTTGTAACATCAAGCTCCGTCATCTGAGGAAGGAAAGCCGAAGAAGCATTTGAGTCTACAGTCTCTGCCGAAAACAGAGCGTCATCACGGGCTACTCCGGAGAATTTAGCGAAGAACGTATTAAAGGACCCATGAAACGATTTTAACATCGAGAGAACGTGCACCTTATTGCCCTTTTTTTGTTTACTTTAGCACAAAGACCATAAAACACGACTACTTCTCTCGAAATGTCGCAAATGCGCTGCGTAACCGCAAAAACAAAAAGGAACTATTTCTTGACTTAACTTCACGCACGGCAGCCATAGGAACTAACTTTGTGACGTCACGGCGGGTGCTGTTATTGATATCGCTTTTGAACAAGTATATTCTCAGTTTAATGCTAATATTTAGAAATGATTTCGTTCCAACATAAACAAATGAATCGAAAGTTTTATAATCTTGTTCAGCACACGAAGTTTTCGCAGCGCCATCTCTCCGGAGTAAGTCAAAGCATCCCCTCCCCGCTGCTCCGCTGCCTAGCAACGTTGGTTGCCTGCTACCGGACCAGAGGTGTGATCGACGCGGTATCAAAACAACGTTTCGGCAGCTGCGTGGTTCCTTTTCTTTCTCGTGCGCCTGGTTCGCCTGCCTGCAACTAGCCATTGCGAACATTCGCGATGCCCACCGGTTGCGGTGTTCCGCTCTGCCCCAACCGTAACCAGAAGAATCCCGTGATTCGGGGCAGGAACCTCGTGTACCACTCCTTACCCCGCGAGGAGCCCCTCCGAAGTGCGTGGTGCCGAAGCATCGGCAGGGAGGACCCCGGGAAGGCAGACGTACGCGTTTGTTCGGAACACTTCAACGGCGATAAGGACTACGTTCGCATAGCGAGTGTTCTGCGCGATGCTGGACAGACGTTGAAGCGCGTTAGCCTCAAGTCCACTTCTGTGCCTTCGCTTCGACTGCCCCCCTTCGCGAGGTCTACCCAAGCAAAGGAGCCACCGTCGAAACGCCGAAAAACTCTGGTAAGCATGTTACTCATTTCAGTGCAAGTCAGATTGTCAAGGAACATTCTGTTTTTTCAGGGTGATGAGCCGATTGGGGACGCCGGCTGCTCCGAGGATAGTGCTCCGAGTGCGCCTCGTGAGCTCTGCTGTTCGTGCGGTCACCGACCAGCCTCACACGACGCAGCAGTTCAAGTGGACCCGGAGGAAGTGCAAGCGCCTACAAAAGTCCCCCGGCCGCCTGCTAGGAAAGACAAGGCTGTGGGAACGGACCCTCGGCTGGGGAAAAAGTCTGTCGGTAGGCATGAATATTATCGTGGCAATTTGGACCAGTTGGTTTATGATCACGTAAAAAAAAAGTGCCAAAAAACACAGGGACGAGAAAGTAGACAGACAAAGAGTGCTCTTGTCTGTCTACTTTCCCCTCCTTGTGTTTTTTGGCGCTTATTTACAAGGTGATGAGTATTATACACGATTAGTTCGACATTTCCATATGAAGACGGCGTTTTTTAAGTCGTGGGTGTGACAAACAATCCAGATATCTATAACCTTTGTGGATTAAGAACAGCGGGAGGATGGAGAGGAGAAAATTACCTCTTCTCACCGATTGGTATTTTCTTCCTTTCCACTCTCCTCTCAAGCATGTACTCCGCTAATGTGAAGAGAGAGGAAGAGAGAGTTCTCCTGCTATTGTTACCCTGCAACAGACTATATAGATAAGTTCATGTTTAAAGCTCCCGGGTATCACAAGTGTAAATGAGACCGAACTGCAAGGAAGAAGTTGAGGTGCAACCAGTGCATGCAAACGCTTGCATGTACAGGATCTGGCCATAAAAACATTGACATTTAAAATGCCTAGCAAAAATTAGATTTATAACATGCACATCTGAAAATGGGTGCATCAACGTTGCTTCCCTGAAAATTTTGTCTAATTGTTTTTTAAGGGGTTGACTTGGGAGTAGTGAGTTACTTAAAATAAAACAAAAAGGCCGCAGTGCATTTTTTCTGGCCTATAGTGGTCATTTTCTGTCTACATATTGGTTTGCATGTGTTTTAGGGTGGCCTACTTAGTGCTAAAAGCTTTTTTTTTAATTGATGGCAATTATTTTGATCGTTGTCAGTGTTTCCTGATACATTCTTGGCGTTTTTGTGTTCAGTACGCCACCTAGCAGCAAGGGCTCGAGCGGCTGCGCAGACGGAATGTACTGCTGCCGTTTTTGTCCGATTTTTAAACATTCATATACTATTCAAAGTTTATGCCTGAAACAATTAAATAAAAAACTTGAGACGAAATGCCCTTGTGCCCAATTTTAGGTGAGTATATTTGAAATTCAATTTTTACTAGGCAGTTCAAACATGAAGGTTGTTACAGTCATGTCCTGTACAATCCAAGGAAGTCTTGCTGAGAAATGTAGCTCCCGCCAGGGCTCAATTTTCCTACAGCTGACACAAAGTGAGGCATAATGAGCAATCGGACTGTGTCAATCTTCCTTCCCTTTAGGCACGCAGGGAAACACCTATGCCAAGGTGGTGACAACTCAGTCGGCACAGACTGAAGAGTTGGAGCTACTTGGCACCGCAAGTGCCACCACCACCACCACCATCACCACCGCCGCCGCCACTGCCGCCGCCACCCCCGCCGCCGCCACCGCCACCCCCGCCACCGCCGCTGCCGCCGCCGCCACCGCTGCCGCTGCTGCCGCCGCCGCCGCTGCTGCCTCTTCAGTGCCACCAATGAGACCCGTCTTAGCACCTGCCACTCCTGTACCCACGGAGACGGTTCGGACCCCAGTGCTAGATGATCCAGACAACAGCGCGGATCCTTTGTACGAGCCATTTGTGGAGCGGAGCTTCGTCGAGTAAGAATGCTTTCATCCTTAAACTAAACGGGCTGATTTACGCTCCGTCTAATGCAACAGCACCAAAGGAAGTGAGGCCAAAAATTTGGCAGTCGCTAAGAAATTAGAATGTGTGACACACCCTGAATCAGGCACATAACCAGGATGCTCCCATGGCAAAGTGTCATAGGTAGGGAAGAGGGAGAGGAGGTTCCGAGACTGACCTGTTTCTAGTGGCACTGGATTATGTGTAAGCTATAAGTGCTTTCCCCTGAAATGCTAGGAGAGCATCAATGTTTCGTTAGCTTTGTAGGTTTTTGAGGAGAGCATGAGCATCTCAGTTTCTTTAGCATGCTCGATTTGATTTGTTCCCCTATTATAATGTCGACAGCACACCTCTCGTGCTCAAGCTCACCTCTAGTTAAAGCTGTCTTATGTTCTGACCAAAGTTTTTAGACCAAAGGCATCTAGAGACTGTGCCAGTAGTCTAAGTTTAACGAGCACCTGTATAACAAACAAACTGTATTGACGTTCCACACTGATATTGCGTCGGAACATTGTTATTGCAAGTTTGAACTACTAATAAATTAGTGTTCAAATGCAGTTAAAATTGTGAAAATAGTGCAAGTTTAAGCTTCTGATAACGTAGTAATATGGAAATTTTTTTCTTTAAATTTTCATATCACTATTTTATTAGTAGGTCAAATGCTTAAATGAATTTTTGAGAGCGTTCATCAATTTCGCCTTACTATAATTGAGATATTTATACCTATATACTTGAATGATCGGTGCCTTCTGGAATATGTAAAATATTATTTTGTAACGTTGCATCTCAGCTAAGCTAGCTCACAAGCCCTCACACTAGATATTTTTTTAGGGATCACCCTATCACAGGCGAGGAGCCAGCTCACAAGGAACGCGAATTCATCGTGTTCGAGAGCCAACTGCGACAGCTGTTTAAAGTCTGCAAGACCTGCTACAGGCCATGTAAGGTGTCCACTTCGACGAACACCACCGTTCTCACGGTGCACACACTCTGCCCTGCTGGGCACTCCCATCGCTGGGACAGCATGCCGTCCATCAAAGGCAGGGCTCTGGACACCCTGCTGCTGTCGGGAGCCATACTGTTCACGGGGTCATCTCCAACGAAGACGCTGCGCTTGTTCGAGCTCATCAACCTCCAGGGGATGTGCGAGAAGACGTACTTCAACTATCAGCGAACAATATTGCGCCAAGCCATCGAACAGGTGACAATTAATGAGATCAGTTTTTTCCTGACATGTTCTTGAACCCCAATGCAGTGTCGCTTTATATGTTTATGCCAGTATGAAACATTTCAAAACTTTTTGCAACAGGTGTGGACAGACGAGCAGGGCAAGCTGCTGGATGAGCTTCGTGACCAGCCACTGGACCTTGCTGGTGATGGGAGATGAGACTCCCCCGGCTTTTGTGCCAAATATCTCACTTACTCCCTGTTTGTGGGTCACGTGAACAAGATCCTTCACTTCGAACAGGTTCAGGTTGGAGAGGTAAGGAATGGCATGCAATTACCTTATTGGGGAGGTGAGGGATGCATGAAACCACCTTATTGTGGAAGTGAGGAATGAATGGAACCACGTGATTGTGGAGGACTTTTTGGGCTGATAACCTTTTGAAACAGAAAAGTACAGTAGAGCACACACTACAGCCTACTGCTACATTTTTGTCTTTGTGATACGCACTTGAAGTGTATAGCTCTTCTCATCTAGAATGAAATAGGTGAAAATTGTTAAGGCTGTAGGTTACCTGACATCGGTACACTCATCTTCACAGTGAGGGTGAACAAGCTAAGTCGTTGGGTCGTCACCACCAGTGCGTCAAAATCACGCCAGCGGCAAAAAAGGCACAAAGAAGGTGCGTCACCTTCAAAGGTGACGCACCTTTGAAGCGCTGGCAGAGGCAGTCGAACAACAGAGCTTGTTCACCCTCATATCTGAGGATGTCTGTACATCTGAGATAATCATTGCTGATACTGATTTTTGAAATATGTTGTTCCATTTTACACTGAATACACAGTGCGACACAGTCCGCAACAGTGGACAGATGGAGAAAGAAGGCCTGGTGCGGTCCCTGGACTTCCTCAAGAAGAAGGACATCACTGTGCGGTCTCTGACTACAGACAGACACCGTTCCATTGGGAAACACATGAGGGAGCAGGAACCAGGCATCCTGCACTACTTCGACGTCTGGCACGTCTCAAAAAGTAAATGCAATTTGTTAGGACCTCATGCCACTGTATGCAAACGAACAAACCATACTGCTTGCCAACATAGCAGAGTGGGTATTGCTCACCGAAAGTTTTCTGCAGTATCATATTTGCACTTTTTTGCATTGTATCTTAAAGTGTTTTGATCGGATGAAATTTGACCACTTAGATTAGGGCCCCAATTGATAGGGCCCCAATTGAGCACGCCTTACTACAGCAGAATTTGAGAGCCCATCACGGACCGTGTACCGACAGAAAATTAACAAAAACATATTTTTGTTTTATAGTATTGCCAGCCGCCAGTGCTCAATCAGAGCAGTTGTTGCTAACAGTGCATTTAACACATCTATATACAATGGTTACCTATGGAATTTGTTTAGCGGCATTAGGTCTTTATAGTCTGTCACCTTAAAATATTTTGTCTTGCGGGTCTTTTAAAGGAATGCTGAATTGCTTGCTTGTGCCCTTCTGAAACCAATGTTTTCCCATGTGCTTCGTGAACTCTCATTGCTTGCTTCTGCTCATTTTGCACTGGGATGGCAGCACCATCCAATTATTTTTGGGAGTAATTTTTATTCACGGCAAGAATTGCGCTAGGGGCGCTTTAGCAGTCCTCACATGCCCGTCATCTATTGGCTCGGTCAGAACTCGGAGAGCCAATCACAGCGACCACCGGAGGAAGCTCGGAGGATGACGAGGCCAAAAGCATGCTTAGATCAAAATATGAAGACAAAATTTTGACCTCGTCATCCTCACTCTGGGTTGCGAGACAATCTACTAGGTGGTGATTCCCAAACTTCTCGGCGCGAATAGAGCACGAAAATATGTTTCCGTCTCTATGTACGCTTTCCTGTAAAGTGAATTATTCTCCAATATGAGCGGTGTCAGCAAGCCTATTCTATGTTCAAGAACTATCTTTATGCAGACTACAAGTTAGAAGGACCAGAAAGATTGTACTAATTTTGCTCGCTCGTCGAACTGCAGGCATCAAGAAGAGCCTGAACGCGGCAAGCAAGGGGCAGGACTGTGGTGCACTTGCTCTGTGGGCACAGCCAGCTTCAAACCACATGTACTGGTGCGCGGCAGCTAGCCGTGGCAATGGTGACCTCCTTGTGGACGCCTGGGCAAGCCTAACCAGGCACGTCATCAACGTCCACAAAGACCATCCTGGGATGTACACCCGGTGCTTTCATGCGCCCATTGAAGAAGGCGAATGGATGGAGCCAGGTAAGGAGGCAGTTTACATACCTAATCAGACTTACTTTTTCGTCCATATTTGGTGTTTATTGTAGGGTTGTGTGACTAGTGGATCGAATCGAATAGCGCTGCGTCATTCATAGCCTTGACAATACAAGGGAAAGCCCAGACAACCGGTTCTTTCAACAGTGCAGAAGCTAGGGATGACGCTGCGCTATTCGATTCAAGCCACTATTCGCACTACCCTAGTTTGTTGCTTTGTCTGGCCTTTTTCAAACTAGGGGACAACCGGAGAAGCTCTAAACCTTTTTTTAATGCATCTCTCAATATTCCCGGGCTTTAGAGGAACGCAATTTATTTGTTGTCATTTCTGTTGCTTGTGCGAGCTAGCCAGCTTTGACAGCCCTGAAAAGTTGGGGGAAAAGCGTGCCAGAAGTGGTCGCCATGACTACCTTACTCATGTCCGCGAGGGCTGCTGCAGGACGATTAATTAATAACGGTAGAGCACCAGTGCACCTAGAAGAGCACATCAACTCAGTACGTCACATCAAAATGAAAGTGGTACACTGTCTGGATTTTTGATTGAAAAGTACCGCAAGAGGAAAGAAAAATTATGCATTTAGTACACTACATTTTGTACAAACATGTTTCAAAAAGTGTATTTTGTTAATGCATATTCACCAAAAAGAAAGGTAAACTTTTATCTGCACTTATATTCATTGATAAAAGCTGAAAATTTCATTTCCAAATAAAAACCGGAAAGGTTGCCATAATTGGAAGAAAAATAAAAAATAAAAATGCCGCAGCCTAAACATTAGTTACAAAGGATACTACCTTCAAGAAATACAACAAGGTTTACCAACAACTCAGCGTAAAAGTACCAATCTTTTGTTAATTACTGTTTGCTCCGACAAGCTGAGATTCCCTTTTTTATTGGTTCAGAAACGCCTGTCCATGCAAAGTTTGTGGACATCGTGACGAGGAAGCAGCTGCTGAAGGACCTGCAACAGCTGTCCCCGGACACACAGACTTATGCCCTGGTGTCTTACCACAGTGTCCTGAACGGCTTCGCAGCGAAAGGGTTTGCCTTCAGCACAGGAGGTATGGTCGCCAGGTATGTTGTAACAATTTTAGGGGTCTAAAAGAAGATCCTCAGGTTGCCTGCCGTTTTATGTTAAAATATCATAGCCCAGACTTGTTTTGTGTGTTTCCTGAGTTTTGTCACAATGTCGTAATTTTGTACCTTAATCATTCTACTTTAACCTCCTAATCAGTCACAACTGCAGTATGGCTGTGCTTTATCAAAATGAGTAGGTTTGCAAAGCATCTAACACATGTGCAAATATGAACACACTGATTCACGTGATGAAGCTAGCTTCATCGTGGCTGCGGAATGCTTGAGAATCCAACAGTAAGATATAGCAAAACAGATTGTTGGACCAGATTCCCTATTCGTCCAGAACGCGCGTTGCAGCGCTCCACTACAACGAAAACAGCAGCAGGGGCCAGGCCATCACACAAGCGGGTGAGATGCAGTGGAAGATGACATCTCCCAAGGCAAGGAAGGGACACCACAGCGTCAATCCCAGGATGACAAAAGCCACATATGGTAATATAAGAAGAATTCTACTGTTCAGAGATACCTTTACTTTTCCCTACAAAATTTTGATGTTTGGAGTTACAGTGTAGACCGCATATAACGTATGTCGTGGGAGTCGCGAAAATCCGCATTATAAGCGGTACCGCGCTATAACCAAAACACCAATTTTTCAGGCCAAAATACATGCCATAAGACAACTTACCTTTGTAAAAGAATTTATTTTATGTTAGATGAATAATAAAGTTTAGTTTAAGGAAAGTCTTCAATTAACCAGACTATTACACTTCTCTATCAAGTGTGTCCCACATTTTGAAAGAAATGAGTGACTTTTGCCTGGCACCGCCTTTTAACGGCGTCGCGGGTTGCGGACGGATGTTGCGAGCATTCAGGATTGCTAACCCTAATCACTTTTCTCCGGCGATGAAAACACGTGAAAATTCGCACCCTTTATACGGTACGCGCCAGTAATACCTTCAACTTGAGCACAGGCATGAAATGCTCCAAATAAGAAATCCGGACAATGTTCGCAAACACTAATGCTTAGAAAACACCACTGTAGTCGAAGTAAACAAACACGACGACACGGGCGTTTCTGCCGTCTTGAGAGTGCCGCCACGACATCACCGCACGAGTAGGTGGATCTTCCCTTCTAGTACGTGCTGGGTTATCATAGCGACGCACAACGAAAGTTCACAGTCAAGGATAGCGCTTTTACGCGGAACGATGAGCTTCCACCACGCCGTCTACGTCGACGATCACAACCGACGCTATGTTTGCGGATAGAAGAAGCCAGCCCGCGACCGGTATGCAACGCACGCGACCAGTTCTCGACCTGCGATTGGTCTGTCGTTGCGGTTGTTTCCAACACAGCGGAGGGACGCACGCACGTGAGCGACACGTGCGTGCGTCCCTCCGTCGCTATGGCGACTGAAGCCTCTCTCTTCCCTTCTCCCTGCTTCTTCGAGCAACCTCCTTGCCCTGCGAGTGCCCCTTGCGGCTAGCGCCGTTATCTAGTGTCGCACAGGGAATCCAATCGCAATTCGGCTGACAAATATTATTTTAAACATCAAGTCGGGACAACACTCCTCTCGAACCCTTCCCTATTACTTTAGGAAAGAGAGATCCACTTTCATGGTGGGGAGTTGCCCAGCTTGCACGGCGCTACAGGTTTAAATTTGGCCTTTTGCCTGACCCTCTCTTCCGTCTCATACTTCCTCCACGGAGTGCCAAGAAGCCCCCAACCTCCCCGGCTCAGCAGCCCAAGCTGCTGTCGACAATTGACACATCGTAGACCAGAGACCTAACCATCCTCTACACGGTCATCGCGCTTCCCTCAATCGTCCCGTTTCCCCAACCTCCCCCTTCGTCCTCCTCTTTCTATCCCCATCGGCTTTCCCGAGGCAAGTGGTGAGCAGCTAGCCGCTCCAGTAAATTTGTAGATGCAAGTCACAAGGTGTGTTGTGTGTTTCGTTTTGTTACATGCCTCTTTCGTTTTAAATCAAGGAATTCTGACGTACATGTAGTTCAAAATCTGCTCAGTTAAAAAAAGCTCAACCACTCACAAATATGGTCAGACAACGCTGCGAAACTCATCAAACACTTGATGTTGGGCTACTAAGCCTTTTTTACTTCCGAACATAAATCACCCTACGTTCTCATTTTTGTGAAAAACTGGAAGTCCTACTCTAATCTCATTTCGTCATCTCATTTTGGCAGAATGATGTGCCTTCCGATGCGCACGTTTCCCCACAGTTGACATAATGCCCAATATTACAACTACTTTTGCAGATTACGTCGCAAAGCTCCTGACTCGGTCTGTGGAACTCTGCAAGACAGCGCTGCCCCTGAAGAAAGCTTTCAAGCTTGATGCGGAGACACCACGTCCACCCTGCATGAGCGAGAGCTTCGAAAGGCCGTCAAAGGAAGACCTTGTTGTAGCCAGGCTCAGCCGTTTTGCAAAACAAGTGGCAAGCATAACCGGGTGACTTAGCACGAGCGAGTTTAGTCTTGTGAAACCTGCTGTTAGGGTTCTTGTCTTGATTGCTTCCAGGAGCGGTCAATGCAGTAACACTTTCACTCCAAGACTCGTTGATGGAATGAGTGGTGTCGTCGTAAGTGCCACTCAGCTTGTGACGATGCCACTCATTTTTACAAGCTTTTGAATGCCGAGCAAAGACCGACTTTATTACCACGATCGTGGCTCCACTCGAGGTGCTGCTCAGCATCAGGACTTCTGGGTACCTTAAGTGATAGCCGACAATAACGATGAAGACCTGCTGCTAATGAAACAGGTCCGCACCAGCGACGGTCCCATGGGCGAGCAGGGTTGCCAGACGAGATGAGCTGTTCTGCCAGTTGCGCTCTTTTCTTGGCACATTATTCGCAGACACTCACCAGGGATGCGATCTGTGCATTGATGCCTGGCCACCAAACAGAGTCATGAGCTCAGCACTTGCACTTGACAACTCCATGGTGCCCGTCATGTATCACCCTCATTATTGTTGGTCGTAACTCGGCAGGTATGAGGAGCCTCGAGCCCTTCGGAAGAAGTCCTTTGCAAAGCGACAGCTCGCCTTGGAGAGACCAATACTTGGACAGATTGAGGGGCAGCTTGTGCTTCTTCGGCCATCCAACCTCACAATACCATGTGAGTGTACAGCACTCTCCGCCAGTCTGTTGCATAGCTTGGATTTTCTTGGGGTGAAGTGGGAGGTCAGCAGACGCGTCTTCTAGTGCTGCAATTGCAAAGGTGTCCGGGGAGCCCTTCCCTTGTCTTCAGACCCAGTTCTCTGTGGAGCTCTAGGGAGTGTGTCTGCCATTGCCAGTAGTTTCCCCGGTACAACTGGCACTGCATCAGCTTTAAACGAAGGCGCTGGATGCGGGGAGGACGTCCCTACGCTGAGCTGCAAACCACGTATGAGCTCGTCAAAACGTTCAGCCACGCCGCTGCCAAAGCCGTATCCTCCTCTTGCTGTGGCAGATCTCTGTCAGGGTCATGGCCCAAGATGCAAAGGCAAATACCCTTCTTTCTCCAGAAGGTTGGTCTTGAAGGAGTATGGCATCGAGACCGAAAGAGCTGGCATCTGCCGAAACTGTTGTGCACTACACTGGGTTGTAGTTGCCGAGACAGCAGTCTGAACTCTGGAAGTTCTTCGCGTGTAGGAATGCTGCTGCCTGTTCGGAACCCCAGCCCCATACATCTGTTGCTCTTCGACAAAAGTGCTCGGGGATGCGCGGCACGAAATGTGCAACATGGTTTACCATTTCAAGTAATCCTCGCACACCTGTGACACTCTCAGGCCTTTCCGTCACCTGTACAGCCTGAATCTTCCTGAGATCCGGCTTCACGCCTTCTGCTGATATGACGACTCCAAGGAAGTTGACTGTGGACACTCCAAAAACACATTTATCTTGTAGGGACTGGACGCACCGACAAGCGAGTCCAGTCTCGCCACTGGAAACAGAGAAAAAGACGCGCGCGCTAGCTATACGCTCACGCGCTCACGCGCTCACGAAGAGCAGTTCCTGACGAGACACGACTGAAATAGAACGTTGTTTTCGAACGTCCGTCTCCTGCCTGTTTCTTTCACCACATTTGGTGACCCGGACGTGATCGCCAACTAGAACGGCTGAAATGCAGCAAGGAGAGCCTTCGCATCCGCCGCCAGCCACTGTTGCAGCAGCCGCAGTACGCCTTCCACCATACTGGGACCGCAATCCGCGAGTTTGGTTCCTGCAAGCGGAATCACAATTCCACCTCGCTGGGGTCACCACACAAGGTCGGAAGTACCACCACGTCGTCTCGGCTCTTTCACCAGCTGCAGCCGACGAAGTCTACGACGTTCTGGCAAATCCCTCTCCAGCAACACCGTATGACCAACTGAAGAATGCTCTGCTCCAGCGCACCGAGATTTCGGAACGCTCCCGCGTTCAGCAGCTTCTCTCGGCGGAAGAGCTCGGGGATCGGCGGCCAAGCCAGTTGCTGCGACGCATGACCCAGCTTCTTGGAGAGCGCTCTAACAATCTGGACGACGTATTCCTCCGCGAGCTGTTCTTGCAAAGGCTACCTTCCAATGTTCAGATGGTTTTGGCAACAGCAACAACGTTGGACCTCACCGGACTTGCCGCGTTGGCCGACGCCGTGATGGAGGTGACCACTCCATCGGTCGCCAGTGTTATCGTGGCTCCACAGCAACCAACAGCCCAAGACTCTGGAGCGGCCGCCAACAGCCAGCCTCCCCAGGCCAACATCGAGCAGCTTTGCCAACGTTTAGAGGAGATCGTCGTCGCAGCTACACGAGGCCGCACCCCCCACCCTCGTGAGTCACATCGCAGACGTTCGACGTCTCGTCGGGCACGCGGCGAATCGACATCTCGTCGGACACGCGGCGAAAACACGCGATCACCGAGCCCTGCCAGGGTCTGCTACTACCACCGCCGCTTCGGTGCCAACGCCCGGCATTGCCTCCGCCCCTGTTCATGGCAGGGAAACAGGCCGGCCGACCTCTAGAGGCGACGAGTGGTCAGGGCCTCGGCGAAAGTCGCCTTTTCTACGTGTGTGACCGAGCCACCAAGAACCGGTACCTCGTCGACACCGGAGCCGAGATCAGCGCAGTTCCAGCAACGCGTGCCGACCGTTCCTTGACACCGATATATTTTCTGCGCGCAGTGAACAACAGCGCCATCCCAGTCTACCGAGAACGGTCGATCACCCTTAACCTCGGCCTCCGGCGGGTTTTCCGGTGGATCTTCCTGGTGGCCGACGTCAGTCAAGGAATTCTCGGCGCGGACTTTCTCAACCACTACAAGCTCCTCGTGGACGTTAGAAGCAGGCGACTGATAGACTCCACCACGCGACTTTCCATCCATGGTATCGCAACGGACGACAATTCAGTCTACACCTCTGCCTGCACGATCCCGGAAGAAGCGTTCAAGACTTCGCTGAGTAAGTTTCCGAGCCTTACTCAGTCACCTGATTGGACCAAACCCGTCTCGCACGACGTACAACACCACATCGTGACAACAGGACCACCTGTTTACTGTCGTCCCCGCCGTCTAGCCCCAGAGAAACTCCGCGATGCTCGCCAAGAGTTTGAACACATGTTGGACCTTGGCATCATCCGACCCTCGTCTAGCAGCTGGGCGTCTCCATTACACATGGTGTCGAAGAAAAATGGAGACTGGCGGCCGTGTGGCGATTATCGTGCCCTAAATAAGAACACTGTACCGGACAGGTATCCTCTACCTAACATCCAGGATTTTACGGTGAACCTACAAGGCGCGAAGGTCTTCTCCAAAATCGATCTGACGCGGGCCTACCACCAAATTCCCGTGGCCGAAGAAGATATCTCGAAAACAGCGATCACGACACCGTTTGGACTTTTTGAATTTCTCCGCATGCCCTGTGGCCTCAGAAATGCGGCTCAGTCATTCCAACGGTTCATCGACGCTGTCACACGAGGGTTACCTTTTGTCTTCGCGTACGTAGACGATTTGCTCATAGCCAGCAAGTCACCGGAAGAGCACACGAACCACTCGGACCTCCTCTTTGAACGACTGCGCAGCCACGGCATTGTCATCAACGCCGCGAAAAGTGTGTTCGGAGTTCCGGAATTGGAATTTCTTGGTCATCGGCTTGACTCCTCGGGCATTCGCCCATTGCCATCAAAGGTACAAGCCATCAAAGATTTCCCGAGGCCGACTTCGACCACCAAACTTCGCCAGTTTCTCGGTTTGGTCAATTTTTACCGACGTTTCGTTCCGAACTGCGCCAAACTGCTCGAACATCTTGAGGTCCTTCTAACAAAACAAGAGCGAAAAAAAGTCGTCCCTTATTTGGAACGAAGATGCGGAACGCGCTTTCGGCGAGGTAAAGAACTTACTGGCAGAAGCAACAATGCTAGTACATCCTAAGCATGATGCCCCAACATCGCTGATGACCGACGCATCTGCCACAGCCGTAGGAGCGGTGCTACAACAAAAAGTCGACGGAGAGTGGCGGCCGATTGGTTTCTTTTCTAAGAAGCTCAAGCCAGCGCAAACGCGCTACAGCGTTTTCGGACGTGAACTCTTGGCTGCCTACTTGGCTGTACGACACTTTCGACATTTCGTCGAGGGACGGCCATTTACCATATGGACTGACCACAAGCCCCTAACTTACGCCATCAGCAATGCCGGCTCTCATTACACACCACGTGAGATTCGCCAGCTAGCCTTCTTGGCCGAATTCACAACGGACATTCGGCACGTTAAAGGAGTTGACAACGTCCCCGCTGATGTCCTCAGCCGGATCGACGCCGTGAACACCCCAGCCTGTTCTGCTGTAGACTTGGAGTTGCTGGCTCGTCTACAGACCACCGACGAAGAATTGCAAGCCCTGCGCAGTTCATCCACGTCACTGCAACTGCGGGATGTAAGCTTTCCAGAAGGCACCACCGTGGTCTGCGACCTGTCAACGGGAACGCCTAGGCCTTTTGTACCACGTGAACTGCGACGACAGCTCTTCGAAGCGATTCACTGCTTGTCGCACCCGGGTATACGGGCATCCCAGAAGCTCCTGTGCGACCGCTACGTTTGGCCCCGGATAAAATCCGACGTTCGTGAATGGGTGCGATCCTGCATCGCATGCCAGTGCGCGAAAGTACAGCGGCATCCGGTACCACCAAGTCGACAATTCCTACAGCCTGACAGCCGTTTCAACAAGATCCATCTGGACCTAGTAGGACCCCTACCGATTTCTCAGGGACAGCGCTACATCCTAACGTGTGTCGACAGATTCACACGATGGCCAGAAGCAACCCCACTGCCCGATATCACCGCCGCCACCGTCGCTGAGGCGTTTATCGTTACGTGGGTATCCCGGTTTGGCTGCCCCTCAGAGATTGTCACCGACAGGGGTCGACAATTTGAATCGGCACTCTTTGCCGAGCTCACTCGATTGCTCGGAACCAACCGTTTGAGAACGACTGCCTACCACCCACAGCCCAACGGGATGGTAGAACGATTTCATCGACATTTGAAATCGGCCCTTGCAGCTCAGGGTGGTCCCTCGGATTGGGTTCGTCACCTCCCCCTTGCGCTTCTTGGAATCCGGACAGCCTTGAAGGCGGACATCGGATGCTCCACCGCCGAACTTGTGTACGGCACTGCACTTCGCTTGCCATCAGATTTTTTCGAAGTGGACCTGCCTCAACAACAAAGGCAGTTGGACTATGTAGAAGAACTCAAGCAAATTTTTATCAATTTGCGACCGGTGCCTACACGGCAAGGAACTTCAAAGTCTCCCTACGTGACCCAGGACCTCCAAGACGCCACTCATGTTTTCGTATGACAGTCGCAAAAGAAGCCACTGCGCCCACATTACATCGGACCTTTTCCAGTGGTCGAAAAGAGAAGCGACACGTTTGTCCTGCGTGTCAACGGCAAGAATGACACCGTTGCATTGGAGAGACTAAAGCCGGCACATATTGAGCAAGCGCATGTGCAGGAAATAGCGCTACGTGACATCAACCAGACGACAGAGAGAAGCCAACTTCGTTGTCACCCCGATGTCTGTGTGTTTTGATCGTTCGTCCTACCTCCTCTCTAAGGGGGGGCATATCTGTAGGGACTGGACGCACCGACAAGCGAGTCCAGTCTCGCCACTGGAAACAGAGAAAAAGACGCGCGCGCTAGCTATACGCTCACGCGCTCACGCGCTCACGAAGAGCAGTTCCTGACGAGACACGACTGAAATAGAACGTTGTTTTCGAACGTCCGTCTCCTGCCTGTTTCTTTCACCACAATCTTTTTTGAGGGTGATGCCTGCCTTTGATAGTCGGGAGAGCACTTGACCGAGTTGCGTGTCGTGCTCCTCTTGCGTCCGTCCAAAGACAAGTATGTCATCAATCACGTTGATGCCCCTGTCTTGTCCTCTCAGAATGCATGCCATTTGCTTCTGGAAGTACTCTGGTGCCAACGTAAATCCAAAAGGCAAACAGCAGAAGCAGAAGCGGCCAAAGGAAGCGATGAACGCGGTGTACTCCTGACTTTCCTTGACAAGTTATACCTTCTGAAATCCAAAAATAGCGTCCAACTTGGCGAACACCCTCTCTTCACTCAAAAGTCCGAGAACTTGGTTCACTCTAGGGAGCATGTGCCTTTCTCCGAGGACGACCTCGTTGACCTTCGTGAGGACAGTGCAGGGGTGGTGACTTCCAGAAGCCTTCATTCGGTACAACTGTTCCTGCATACTATAGGGTCTGGCCTTCAACCCGACGAATGACTCCCTGCTACGTCCACACAACCTCTCGTTGGGGAATAGGTGTACGACTAGACACACTCAGTAAGAATGAACTAGATTTAGATTCAAGCTAGGTTGTGTACTCGTCAGGTAGCATACCCAGACCTGCGAAGAGCTCAGTGAAGCCTGGCTTGACTGCAGGCTTAGCTGCAGTGTCAAGGAACTTGACCTGAAGGTTCTGTATGGCAGGGAAGCCCAGCAAAGGAGTTCTGAGAGACTGGACAACATAAACCTGCTGCTTGGAAGTCTTGCCGTTTCACCACAGTGTCAGTGAGAGAGCACCTTGCACTGTAAGCGGATGGTTTTCCGGTCCATAAATGGCGTTTTCAGCCGTTGTCAAACTCTGGGGTATCCAGCGGAAACTATCCGGAGCAGCTGTCACGTCAACTCCTGAGTCCACTTTGAAAGACGCAGTATAGTTGTTGACGGGGACTTCAACAAACTTAGCCCTTTCTCCGGCATCGACTGCAGAAAGCTGCAGAGTGTCTACTTTAGCTTGCTTTTTCATGCGGGAGCGACAGACCTCTGCGGAGTGCCTTTCCTTACGGTAAAAGTTGCACTTGAGTTACGCGCGGGACTGTTTGCATGAGGATGAGATGAGCATCCGCAGAATAAACAAGAACCAGGCTGGCCATTAACACTGGTCGTGACCAGCGTTATTAGCGTTAGACTGAGTCCCGCGTTGCTTCTGACGACCTCAAGAGCTTGGTCGTGTCGAGGTTGACACCTTGACTTTCTGGAGTTGCTGATGTACCCTTGCCTGCCGTGGTTGCCATTTCTTTGTCTTTGTATTCGGCTTGGCACGCTTGCACCCATGTGTCCTTGAGCATGAGGTTCGGGTTTCGTCCAAGATTGTCTGAAAGCCGAGAGTCCTGGGTTCCGACGACCAAACGATCCCTTACGAGGCGTTCCTCGACCTCTAGGAAGCCATACTTACACTGCTTGACCAGGGGCATCAGCTCCACGTGGAACGCGTCGACGCTTTCCCCAGGTTGTTGGACCCGCCAATGGAGTCGCAACGATTCATATACTTTGTTCACGGAGTAGACGAATTGCTCAGTGAAACGCTGTGCCACGACGTTGTAGGACGCCTTAACGGACAGGGAAAGGGCTGCAGCAAGCATCGGTCCTCTGAGCCCATGCACTACAATAACAGCCGTATCTGAATATCTTCAGGTGCCGAGGAAAGACAGGATGCGAAGGCTTAGCGTTCATACTGCGATGGCCAGGAGGGCCACAGCCACTTGAGCTCTCCGAACGAACTGTCAATTTTCGAGAAAACCTCAAGATGGGGAAAACATGAGGGGCGATACAAACACTGTGTCAGACACAGCTGCATTTAGGTCGACAGAAGATGGTGGTTTTATAGGGTTCAAGTGCCCAAAAAACACTGAAAGGAGAAAACTCGCTTTAAACCTTAATTAAGATTTTTAAATTGTGCCGTGCACTGGAATCAAGAAGACTTGCACATCACAGTTGCTAGTTAAACTAACTCCGACTTGATTAACAAGTTGGCTATCAAGCTTTTGAAGGGCAGCTTTTTGTTTGTGTGTCTGTTGTCTTATTGTGTAAGATGTAGCAACAAATAATCTTGGCTTTACTCGAAAATATTAAGACTGCCTTCTACACCTCGTCGGATCTCGGAGGCTTCGTGACCCCCACTTTACGCACCTCTGCCTTAGGTGGCTGTCATATCGAAGCCTTTTGCCCCTTCACGACCCCTTGCTTTGTCTTTGAAATGTCAGAGGCACACTCTTGCAACATTAGGATGGTTGGCTGGCATACCTCATGCAGTACTGCTCTTCTGTAACGTGGAAAGGCAGCCAAAAGCACAATAGGGCAAGGGATGTTCAAGAGGCAGGCATGATGAAGATTCCCACACGCAGCCCCCACATGCAAGTTGTAAATTCTACGGTTCATGCTCACCCTCAGAAATGGAGGGTGAGCATGTACCGTAGAATTTACAACTTGCATGTGGAGGCTGCTTATGGGAATCTTTATCAAAAAGAAACAAGGAAAAGGCACCGAAAAAAACTGCACCTACATTAGATGATTTTGCCTGTAAATGTACACAATGTGAAGTAGCAGTAATATCCAATCATCAGTTTTTTTTATTTTTGTCTTGGGATTGGATGCATGGCCACCATAAAAGCTGCGTGGCAGAAACTCCCCATTCAGGACTGTGATCTAAATGCAACAAAGTGGTAACTTAAAAAATAAAACCTAGATTGAAATGTTTACACTTACAAAAAAATGCATCCGCAAGGTATGCCGACCACCAAATCATTGTATGGAACAGACTCGGCTTAGCCAGCGATTATGCAGACATTTTGTCGAGCAGAAAGTGCTCCAGGGATATAGAACGATTTGGGTTGCAGAAGTTCCGCACTTTCATTGGTTGAATATGCATTTGAGATATATAGTATAAAGAACATTCGTCTGAGGTTGAGTTCACATTTTTTTATTCCGTGTCCAAAAACCCGGTGTAAGCTTCCGAGGGGAATTCCTCACGGATTGTTCTGACGACACAGGCAGGCAGGACTCGTCTGTTGCGGCGCCCCAGTCTCCGCCACATCCACCTTAGAAACTGCCTGTAGGCCACGAAGCGTAACCTGTGAAAATGATAACATAGATAGTAACTTGTCAGTGTGATAAAGTTGCGTATAAAGTAAAAGTACAGACTGCAAGGTTAAACTATACAACTGGAGTGCATAGGTACAATATTACAAAGGCGGCATGGAGGCATCTGTACTCCACCTTCAGGATTTCTTCTAAAACCTTTTCATGTATGAAGAAAAAGAAACATGTAGTTAGATGAATTTTAATAACCGACACGATGGAACACAGAGGTATGATGGTCAATGAGCAGCGGATAATTGTGAACTAAATAACATCTACTGAAGCACATTATTGTACCGAGTATGCTTGTAGAAGACACAAGTGCTTCTGATATGATGTACCTATGTTTCATGCTTTCCCAATGTAAACACTTCTTTGGTGTGACATGTAACATCACCTGTGGTGGGCTTTACTTGCTTTATTGTTGATGAGCTGACAAGTTATCAGGACACTGTATTCTAATTTCTCTACAGGTTCAGGTGGTATCATCAACATTGTAGTGAAGTGCTGTTCTAAATAATTTGCTCTGGTTCTTATGTCGCTATGGAATGGGGTCTACAGGAAAATAAAATTGTTCTACTGCCATGCTAATTTTGAAGTGTGGCACTTGTAATGCTTGTACAGTGTATCACTTGAAAATGGTTTTACAAAGTACTCAAGGTAACATATAGCCGGTTGTAAAATCAATTGTGAAATCAATCTCTGTGCAACATGTTTTCTGAGTTGTTAATCTGTTACAACAGATGTGTGCACAATTCAAAACTATTCTTTGCCAGCGGTTCATAATTGAGGTGAGGCGAATGCTGTTGGTAACAGATAAATGGGAATGTTTACATAGCGTGCCTTTGAGCCACGAACAATGGCCATTTCTGTAGTCGGGGCGGATGCAGGAATTTCCTGAGGTGGGGGTCAGGTGTTGGTCAGCGTACCATATGTTTAGAAATTCCCTCCCCCTCGTTTTACGCCCTAAATTTTACGCATGCAGAATTCAAGAGGGGGGTCAGGACATCCGGACCCCCCCTCTAAGTCCGCCCCTGTCTGTAGTAGTATTTATTGCGTACTATGACCTATTTCAGTTCAATAGAATTTGAGATCAATATACTGACGAATACAGTCTGAATTTCAGCAAACATTAGCTTCGCTTAGGGTTCCGGATTCGACTCTTTTAGAGAAAGCTCATATCCCGACATGTCTAGAGTATTGCAGAACGTAAATTAGTTACCGTTATTGCTGATACTTTGGGACAATGGACTGAGATGAGCCCCAGGTATGGCACCAAGCTCATGGAGTTATCTTGTTTGTGTGCCTTATTGCAAAGGCCTCGAGCCATTGGTGAGCACTTGTAATAAAAAAATGAATGAATAAATGGCGTGTCAAGCAATTGCTTTTTGTGTGGATCTATATTTGGGTCACAAAATGCCTTCCAGATCTAGTGATATGTTTAGGTGGTATCCACATGGGTAAACAAATTTCTGCCCCTATAAAGATTTACAACAGAGAATATGTAAAATAATATCTAGCACAAAAACTGGATGGTGATCGCGATAGATCGAGTCCCTGTCCCTGACCCCATCGACGCATTGTGAACGACCCTTGGGGTGCACTAGTTCCATCTCGGTTGCGACGAAATATAACGGGAGTAAAAGGAAAATTCGATGCACATCGCCAGGCAATTGGCAGCGTTGCACTCGCACTTGATGCAGCAGAAACCCACCGTAAATCTGTTCAAGGGCTTCTGTTATTTTCGGGCGTGAAGGAAGAGTGATCAAGTGCGCGTGCCTGCGATGTCGCGCTTTGTAAGTATGTAGAAGTATGTCGAAATGTTGGAGACGAACGGAGCACCTCTGTTCCCTTGCGCCGGGTTGTGACCAGCCTCTTGTAGTGCCCAGAAGGCTACTCGGAGCACGGCAGGCTGAAGGCAAATGAGCGAAAAGTCTGCGTGCTCTGTCACGCATCCCTTCGGTTGAGCAGTTACAGCAGGCGGGCATTCTCGGCAGCAAGCGCATTCCCTCGATGTTGGCATCACCTCGCACCTCTTACAAGAGCACCTATGATTGAAAACGAAGAGACGTCACATGGAAACTGCTCAACTACAGATAAAAAGTGTATGTTGAGAAACCAGACGCGGTGCTTACCATGCCGTGGTGACCAGACGCCATGCATCTGGGTCCGGACTGGGATCGGGCTGTGCCGACATGTCTTCCTCATTCGGCAACCGAACTTTTCTCGCGCGCTTTTCAGGCGTATGCGAGTACGGCGACAATCCAACAGACTCGCTATACGCGAACATCTCGCGCTCTATTTCACTGAGACCGTCTCTCCAGGTCGCCATGTTGAGGGAAACAGCGGCAGTGGCACAGCCACGGGCCACGGGAATCAGCACTGTGGGAGCCGCGGTGAAAGAGCAAGGCACATGAGCGAGGGATACGGGAGAGAGGGGAAAGTCTGCTCTCGCTGTAGCAACGTCCACAGCGCTAAAAAGAGGACAAGACCGGTGGTCACGTACCCCGCGGCGCGTCATGCGCACGTGACCCGGGAAACATTGTATGAGTTGAGGGGCATTCGCAAACGCCATCTTATTTGGCCGGAAGTCCGAAAATGGTTTCATGAGTCCTTTAAAGTCCTCAACCAGTTGCGTTGTATCGTGACCGAATGCTTTCTCGAGTGTGTGGTCAATTGATTTATTAATCCCCATGCCTCGTAGTTGATTCACCAAACACCAGGTATGTGATATACTTGGCATTGCTTTAAAAAATTGATCTCGAAAATATTTTCTTTTTGCCGAACGTATCAGCGCGTTTAAACGATTTCGTGTACTGTGGAATTCTGTCATCAACTGAGAATTTTTTGGAGAACGTCGGCATCGTTCCCAAAGGGCATCTTTAGACCTAATTGCTAACAGAATGTCATCAGTTAGCCAGTCGTGTTCGTTCCGACGTCTCCTCACAGTGATGACCTTTTTTGCTTGTATCCTGAAGGCACAAAATTGATCTCTAAACCTACTGTAAACGTCGTCAAAGTTATCACTAGATAACAAAATGTTCCAATCATTCGTCCTAACCAAGTTATCAAACTTCGTTCGATCAATTATTTTATTATTTTTGTTGTCTCTTTTGGTGGTTTAACATTGAGTTGTGACATACGTTGAGATGCCACGAAGTAATGGTCGGAGAGTTTTTGCTCAATTACTGCTGATTTGCAACTATATTCGGTGCGCGTACATCAATATGATCAAGGCATGACGCCACAAGGTGATCATCTAAAAGTTCTTCTCGGGTAGGAGCAAGAATTAAACCCACAATACCAAATAGTGCCAATAGGTTAAGATAATCACAAACAATAGACTTGGCGGGTTTAAGCGTGTCAATGTTAAAGTAGCGTATTAAACAAATATCATCAATAGACTGAAAATTGTTAAGCGTAGCTCGGAGTTCGTTCAAAAATGTTGAAGGATTACCTGACGGAGGCCTGTAAAGAGCTAGCAACATCAACGACAACTTAGAATTCGATACATTCAGTGATAGTGACTCGCAACTAAGAAAATTTACATCAAGTTTTTCAACACGCCAGATATCTTTAACAAATATAGCAATCCCTCCCCCTCGTCCAATTATACGTGTTAAAAAGAACGGCTTATAACCCGGTATCTGGAATTCATTAGAGAAGTCGTCTTTAACATTGATTTCTGTCAGTACAAAAACATCGAACAATTCTATTGTATCATTCACAGTTACTATAAACTGATCCCAATATTTGCGTATATTCCTAATGCTCACATGTAAAACACCAAAAGCGCTATCACTCAATGGGTGCAAGAAGTCTTGAAGGGACGAGAAATCCGAGCACCGACAAAATTGTACTTTTATTATTCTAAGTCGTTTTCATGTTCGCTGAACCGTTTAGTAAAGAGAAAGATTAAACAATCTTCTCTAAGTCGTCCAGCCGATGGATACGGACAACTGGAGAGGAATCGGTCTTCTTTGTGAACAGCTTACCGTTCTTGACCCATGTGAACTAGTATAGCCTTGCCTTTGCTCTCTCACGTACCCTCCAAAACAGTTCCTTGTTCTTTTGGGTTAGGTTTTCGTTGACGAACAGTTTTGGCAGTGACCCGTTGGCTGCAAGAGTCCGCAGCTTTCCTCTTGCGGTGAGCCATTGCTCTTTGACTGTCATCGAAGAAAATCTAATCAGTATAGGCGGAGGGACGTCCCGCCTAGATGGTATACGATGCACTGCTAGAATGTCTCTTGGGTGGAAGTCAGGAAGGCCAAGTTGACTGGCTAACTCGCCCACCACAACAGGAAGATTTTCGTGTGCGGAATGAGGCAGCCCGCGAATCTCTATATTGGAGAGACGACTGAACTTTCGCTGTCATTGAGTTCATCTTGTAAGTGTTGAATGGTTTCAGACTGCTCCGCTATCACTGTTGTTAAAGATGTAGTTTCAGTGCGGAGCTCTGTTATATATAATAATATATATAATAATAATATATATAATAATCAATAAGTTAGTGTTTTAACAGTGTCCAGGGACATCCAATTGTTCTTCTTGCGGACGCAGTGCAATAGAACGCACAAAAAGACGCTTGCGCGCTCGCAGTCGCACACATACAAGCGCACACGCAAGTACACACGCATGCACACGCGCAAACCCACGCCCGCCCGCAGACGCACACGCATGCACAACCAGAAACACACACGCGCATGCACGCGGACGTATCCACACGCGCGCGCACAAACACACGCACGCGCATGCACACACACACATGCAAACAATTACGACGAAAGAAACGTTGCTTAAGTTAGTTTCGGTTTCGGTTTACACAAAAAAAAAACCTAAAGTTTAAATAAAACCTAAGATTTACTCACGTTTTGTAATAATTTACATTAATATTTTTGGTGAATTTCTTATTGTTAGTATTATAATAATATTTTCCTTAGCATTGTTCTAAAAAATAACAATAAATAAAAAGGAAAAGAGACTCTTGAAGACTGCGCAAGACCACCGCTATCGCAATTAGCTTCCGTTGGGCTCGGTTGAATGGTTGTTGAAGTTCCAGAGGCTTCGGAAATCTCCTTTTTTTACGTTTTAGCCGTTTTAGTGGATATCTTAAATATCTTCCTTACGAATACCGTGTTCAAGAATGACAATCGATGACTGAGAGCTCGGAGACGCTGCGTCTTGCCAACGCCGTAAGTTCAGAACCGCCCATGCACGACTCGTGCAAACGCCGCTTAGCAACTTTCTTTTGTTTCTGCGAAGTGTGCTGCTTTTTCAAACTTTGTCGTACACCGTGCGCTTGCTACGCTATGCTTGATTCTAACTATGCTTCTGCCCTATGTTATTTTGTTATTTGAAAAGAGCGTATCTTCAAAACCTGTGGCTCGCTCCGCAGTGTGAGAAAGATTCCCGCGCGGCCGAACCGTGGGCATGTTCTTTGCGGCGTCGTGCGGCGCTCGTCCGACGACGCTTGTGCGGAGCGTTCAAGTGCCGTCTGACGGCAGTTCAAGCTTTCAGTCGCCGTCCCAAAGTGTTAATCACAGGTCATGCTAGTTCTGACGTCTTGTCCTAACAGCCGCTTGCCACCAATTTGTTTCATAAAGCGGGAGCGAGAAAAACGTTAGAAGAGCGAGCATGCAGCATGATTTTTTGCATAAGCTAATGCCTGTGCGTAGAGACGCGAGGTCTCTTCGTCATATTTCCGAGGGTAAAAGCGCTAAAACAACGGACAAACAACGCCCTGTGTTTGTTTCTTTTACTTGCCCATTCTTTTTAGAGGTTTCACTCTCGGAAATTAGGTCTCTTCGCGTTTACCGAACCGGCACACTTTTTACGTTTACGATTGTGTGATGCAAAAAAATAAAAGGAGTTTAGATGTCACGTTTTTTATAGTAGTGGCAAAAGCCCCTACAAAAATCAGAGCAGCTAGAAAAGGCAAAAACATAAAAAAGGCGGAAAAAAATTAACTAATGTCAAACCTGAATATTGCCACGCTTGTCGGCGAGCGACCGCGCGCGTGGCCGAGTGGTTACCGTGCTTGACTGTCGCGCAGAAAATCTGGGTTCGATTTCAGTCAGTGGAATGCTCTTTTATTTGTTATTTCATTGCGTTCTCGTGAGTTCGAGAACATTCTCGTCAGATGGAGTTCCGAATGTTCCTGTCGCCGAACAATCTAGGCCGATTGTTCCAGAACCCAACGCGCGTACACAAGGGACTCAGCGTGCTGATCTGCAGTCAGTTTTCGCCCAGCGTTCGACTCTGCTGCTACGCCGACTTCGACGCCCGCGACGCTTCGTTATTACCTTTTGTACCCTTTAATTTTTGGCACAAGTTCGCCACATTAAACGTTTATTTCTTTCTGTTTATTTATTGTTTATTGGTCACCACCCGTGACATTTTGGTGGAGGTGCGGGGTACCGCATGCCCGTGCAGCATTCCCCTCCCAGGACCCGCAGTGCAAGCCCGACTCCAAGCTCGGTGAGAAGACCACTCAGCGCAGAACCTGAAACTCGGACCAGCCGCCGCACTAAGGGAGACGATCCTGAGTTGCGCGCGCTAATCGAGTACCTCGAAAAACGAGGGGGTACTAGCTGTCACCCGTGTCTTCTCAAGAGCCCTGCCGACTTCCGTCCTCCGGCAAGGTGTACTTTACAAGGAGAACTTCGGAGACAACAGCACACCATGGCTGCTGGTAATCCCCACCGACCTTAGAGCGGAGATCTTCCAAGCCTGTCACGACGACCCGACGTCCGGACACCTTGGTTACAGCCGTACGCTGGCCCGAATTCGTGAAAAGCATTACTGGCCCAAGCTGCCGAAGACCGTTCACTTCTACACACGGTCCTGCCACGAGTGCCAGCGACGCAAGAAACCGCCGACGAAGCCGGCAGGTCTCCTGCATCCGATCGCTCCTCCGACCGTACCGTTCCAGCAGATCGGAATGGATCTACTTGGTCCTTTCCCACCATCGACGCAAGGAAACAGATGGATTATTGTCGCCAAAGATTATCTCACACGGTACGCCGAAACGAAAGCCCTTCCTGTAGAGAGTACTGTGGAAGTCGCCAAGTTCTTTATCGAATCTATCGTCCTCCGGCACGGCGCTCCCGAAGTTTTGATCTCAGACCGTGGATCATCGTTCATGGCCTAGCTGACGCAAGAAATCCTTCGTCTCAGCCACACCAGCCATCGGCGCTCAACGGCATACCACCCGCAAACCAATGGACTGACGGAGAGACTCAACAAGACCATCGCCGACATGATCTCCATGTACGTCGACGTGGAGCACAAGACATGGGACGAGGTGTTGCCGTACGTCACATTTGCCTACAACACGGCCGTGCAAGAGACCACCGGGGTGACACCCTTCCAACTGGTTCAAGGTCGTAAAGTAACGACAAT